TTGTAAATTCTTCTTCGTGGTCTCTGTGAATGCGTACTGTAGGGTTTAGTCTGCGCTTGCGCAGCATTTTTAGAATATTCTGGAGCTTTAGCACGTGCTTGCCAGGACCGCACCCCTAGTACACGTGGTCTGCCCGTCCTGGCAATCACTTCAATTCTTTTTTGCTGCCGCTGAGGTTTCATCTCACATCGAGCTCTCTGCTTACCTTTCTTCACTTTTCCTTTAAAAGAGTTAAAATACGAAGGGTTACATTAAGAGACTCTTTGAACTGTTTCTCCTTCTCCTGATCGCCTCCCCATTTCCCCTGCCCCTTCCCTTACACCTTTTATGGCACCTGTAGCCCTGTTTAAATGCTGTGCTTTATGCCCAAACAAAATTCCCCTCTCAGACGGGCACGATTTATGTCTTTTTTGCCTGGGGGAATCACATCTACCATGTTCTTGTCAAAAAAGTTGACTAAACAGGCTCTTAAACTTCAACAACGTCTAAAATCCTTTCTCTGGGAATGGTCCCTCCTACTGGCACAGAACGCGATGGATGCCCCTGAAACCATGCAGCCTGAAAATACATACCTTGGGGTCCCTACCACGTCCCCGACACAAGGATTTGTCCCTTCTAAATAGAAATCTAAGACTGCCACTAAATCCAAGCCTTCGGGACCGTCAACTAAATCTACACCAGTACCGAAACCAGCTTCGGTACCTGGTCATACTAAGTCTAAGAAGACCAAGAAACTTTCTTCAGATTCTCAAGCTTCTAAGAAGTCTGCTCAGACACCAATTGGGAAATCGAATCTGGTAGTTCCTCTCAAGGATCAACCGACTGTCTGCCTAGAAGTTTCTGATGAGGACTTCATACAACCACCATCCGGTCAGCCTCTGTCTCCGCTGCTTGCCCAATCTCCATCCTGGGCTAACACCTCTGCGGACGTGACAATTATATCACAATCGGCATATTTGAGCCCCAAATCCATGGGTTGCTCTGGCTCTCTGTATGATTCAGGGTCATCATCTCCCTTGCTCGACCTGTCTCCTCCGCAAAAGCGGTCCAGAAAGACTCACCACACACCAGAGGCTGGCCGATCCGATGCCGACATTACACAACCTCCGGTTTTTACGGGGTTGCTGGCGTCTCATGATTCGCTGACTCGATATCGACACCCTAAACGAGTCTCACTCTATGAGCCACTGACATACTACAAACCACCAGCTAACGCCATTGATACCGAGTGTGTCAATATTGGCATCCTGATACCGGTCCCTTCATCGAGCCTCATCGCTCCCGGTATGCATACTATTATCCATCGGATGAATCAGGTTTGGTGTCCCCTCCTCCATACCGTCCCCTGTTCCACTACTATTATTCTTCCGATGATGATACCGTACCTCCGCCGGCTGTACCGAAGACCTCCAAATCTTCTCGGAAAAGGGCTTATCCTGATCAACCATCACTTGGACAACACCAATGGATACCAAAACACTCTCGGCTATCTTCTAAAATTCACCCACAGCCTTCTGACACTACTGCATTGTGACAGGTGCATGCATCTTTTGTGCATGTAACAATTACCTATGCTGGACCTCTTCCTTCCCCTCCTGACATACCCAACTTCTCAAGCCAAAGCATCAACAGTCTCGACAGCCTACACATTGTCCTCTTCTGATACAACATAGAAATTAGGCATTCCGTTTAGTGCCGTCTGAATATGTAATAAGCATCCCTATTAGACACTCATACAGGTTGTTTGTGGAAATTTTGAACAGGCCTAGGAAAGAGTACTATAGCACCCCATTAGTCACTTCTCTCCATGACAGGTGCTCTTCCACCACCTCTGTACCCATCACAAACAGCAGCTTCTCACTTTTATTCTTGCCACACCTCCGGCACTATCTTTCTCCTGGGGAGACAGAGATAAAAATATGTACAGTGGTGCCTCACTAGACGATGATAATCCATTCCACTGAAATCGCTGTCTAGCGAAATCATTGTCTAGCGAAAAGCAAATCGTCGTCTAGTGAAAATCGGTTTGCGAAGCAGGGACCAAACATTGTCCAGCGAAATTCTCCCATAGGAATCACTGTTTTGTGAATTGCTATAGCGATCGCAAAAAGTCAATGTCTAGCGAAAAAACTGTTATGCAGGGTAACTGTCTAACGAGTCACCACTGCATTCAGTAATTCTGTCTTTTCTGTCATCAGTTAGTATTTCCCCATCTTCTCTGTAATTCTGTCTTTTCTCTCATCAGTTAGTATTTCCCCATCTTCTCTATACAGCAATCCCACCATTTCGTTCTTCCTTGCTTTTTCAGCATATCTGGGGGGAAAACCTTGTTATTTTTAACCACTTAAAAGTCTGAGCTCATTTTAAGCTTCAACCTTTTTAGCTTTCCCTCTACAAATGTCAGCTACATGTTTATATTCCTCTTTTGTTATAGTCCCCTCCCTTCATTTATTTTACACAGTCCTTTCAAATCTTAGCTGACCTGCAAATTCTTTATGCAGTCACCTTGGCTTTAGATGTCTCCCACTTTTTTCAGCATTGGAATTGTATGCAATTATGCCTTTGGTTAGGGACGTGGTGGCGCTGCGGGTTAAACCGCAGAAAACTCTGTGTTGCAAGTTCAGAAGACCAAGCAGTCGTAAGATTGAATCCATGATGGAGTGAACTCCCGTCGCTAGTCCCAGCTCCTGCCAACCTAGCAGTT